TGCTGAGTGTGCTGTACAAGCTTTTCACTAACGGGAAGGAAGGTTGGTCAAAGTAGCTTTTTGAAATGATAATACTGCCTTGTAGAGCTTGGAACGCTAATTCTAAATTTACCTTTGCTATCTGCTGCGGGCTTCTGGGCGAGGAGTTATGAAAGTTGTGAGTAAAAATCTGAATGCAAAAATAGGGTAAAGTCAATCGTTTTTGCCAATGTTCAAATGAGGCAGCAGCGAATTGCTATACTTGAATTAAGAATATTTGCTGCACCGAGTGACCCGACTACCGATTAAGCCCTTTAAAAAGTGTTACGACTGATTTTAGCCTACTCTTGCATTCATATTTTTACTCGCAAAAATCTTTATAACTCATCTCCCAAAAGCCCGCAGCAGATAGCAATGGTAGATTTGGAATCAGCGTCTCAAGCTCTAGGTAGTATACATCTCATTTCAAGAGGCCACTTCGACCAACCTTCCTTTCCTTGTAAGAATATCCTCGCTCGCATATCCTGAAAACTGGGTAAAGCCCAACCCCAAGAACAAGCTGGATTTCGCAAGGGATTCAGCTGCATGGAGCACATTTAGACGGTTTCGAGACTCATAGCAGTCTGCCGAGAATACCGACTGCCTCTCATCCTAACCTTCGTCAACTACGAGAAACCTTTGACAGCGTCGAAACCAACGCCATCCTGTCTGCGCTAATCAGTCAAGAAGTGGACCCGGCTTACGTGAGGACACTAGCCGAGTGCTACAAAAACTGTACAATAGATGCAGCTATTCCATCGCCCCTGATCACTCCAACTGGGAAGGGGGTTCGACAAGGCGACACTATTTCGCCGAAGCTGTTCATCGCGGCCTTGCAGTGGGTGACGAACACTGGATTGGGAGAGACGCATACGAGTCGATGGGAGATTCCTGTCCAACCTTTATTTTGCGGACGACATCGTTCCCTTTTCGAGCAGTATCACTGAAGCAGAGACGATGCTGAAGGAACTAAACGAATAGGGAAGAAGATCGGATTGCGAATAAATTGGAAGAAGATCGGATTGCGAATAAATTGGAAGAAGACTCAGTTCATAAGAAACGCCCTTTGCGAAGATGCAAAGATGAAATTGGAAGGCACCCCGATTATGGAGACGCCTTCTTACGTGTACCACGGACGTTCGATGAACGTGGAGAACGACTTGAGGGAAGAACTAAACAAGAGAAGAAGAGCAGCCTGGGTCGCCTGGGCCTCTGAGGAAGCCACCGACCAACTGACGAACCCGGAGCTTCGTGCCCATCTGTTCGACTCATCCGTTCTCCCAGCGCTCTGTTACGCAGCTGAAAGTTGGTCCGACACTGTAGCCACATCGAAAGCTCTATGGCCTCCCACAGAGCGCTTGAGCGCAGTCTTCTGAAGATGACCTGACGCAAGCAACATCTAGTCTGACTTCTTCGCAGTACGGATGTGACAAGATTGTCCCGTCTTCGTAACCCAGCGGATTATGTTGCGTAAGCCGTTCAATGATGGACCGGTCACATCATAAGAAGAACAAACGACAAATGGACACTAAGAATATCTGAGTGGAATCTTCGCGAAGCCAAACGTCCGCGAGGAAGACCACCGACGAGATGGGCAGACGTGTTCGTGGAACGGCTGGACCAGCCGAGAAATTGACTGGGTGCGACTTTTGCCCCTGAAACTTGTGGATGCAGTCACCGACGACAATCAAGAAGATCGTGGATGTCCGAAGCGATGGACAGGGATCAATGGAAACTTTTGTACTGGGGCCCGCACGTCACGTGTTCAAGTATCTAAGTAAGTATTGTGCCATGCGTCAAACTCAGAGAGTAGATCATATCAAACTATTACAAGAATTTTCTGAGGCGGGAACTGCCAAAAGCTGATTCACAAACTTCCACAACTCTGCTAAATTTCATAGAATTTTCACTACTATTGAGATAAAAACGACCCTTTTCTGGAAAAATTCAAGGTTTCACAAACCTGCGGTAACTTAGCCAAAGGTGATGATTTCTTCAGGCCAAGCATAAGCGCGATTATTTTCAAGCATTACACTCAGGAACTCCCGCCTTACGGTCGGCCAGCGACGACCGCTCGTTGGTGTGCGCGATTGTACGGTCTTCAAGGGCCGGTCGTACGGGGTGAGCTGAGGCGCAGGCACGGTACTATTGTTCGCTGCTTGTGCGGGGGAGGTCGGCCGCTCGCTTGCTGTTAATTTTTTTTGAGCATGATCATATCTTGATCGATATTGTTTGAATTATATTCCTGTTCACACCCTGAAAAGTGGATCAAGTAGATCCCTGCAGCTTTGTCTTAACAATTATGAAAGGCCCACACTACCACTTTTAACCATCATAGCACCATCTCACACATTGGTTAATGAGAACTGATTTGCTGATACGCAAATACACCACAAATACACGATATATCAAAAAGGGCAGCCTAAACGCTGCGTCGTATTCTATGCAGGTACCGTTCACGCTGACGTGTGATTTGTGAAGAGAAGATGGCCATTATTGGTCGTTTGCACGACTAGGGGTGTTGCCGTCATCAGACGGGCATAATGCTAGCCGCTCGCTAAGGCAAATTTACTACCGACCGATCGCACGGTAACATTGCCTGTCGCTTAAACTGAACTTTCACTGTTTGTCGCTCGCACGGAAGCTTTAGGTGTCGGCTTTTGGTACGATAATGCTTGTGGGAGGACCGCTTGCACAACGTAAATCCCTGAGCACCTGTCATGTTCCTTTTTGAGCCCAAAAATTTGATTTCATCTGTAAAATTCCTTTAAAATGCAGTCCAAATCATTGTCGACTAGCATCTGCCACCACATTCAGAAAATTCTTAAGCCCGTATACACCTATGCCTTCGCTGAGGAGGGGAGGGGATTTGAAGGGGTTCCGTTATATCTCGTCGTTCTAGGGCCGCAGGCACTAATTTCCCCGCGGGAGGGGATCGCAGCTTGAAAGAAAGCTTCATATTATAAAGCTCCAGATATCCGAATTTCACGTTGTGTAGCTATCCGTAGGTATTTTTACTATCCTCCAGTATGAACACATCGAACAGCAGCGAGAAGCTGTACAAGCCGCATTTTCCAGCTCTTGCATGGTCCCTGATGATCCTCGTTTTTTTTTTGAAGTCATTTTTCTTTTTCCGAAGTTAACGGAAAGCTACCAAAATTGTGCAGATTATCAAACCCAACAATGCTTAGCATGTTGTTGGTAAGAACAAGTGATGTATAGGAGTCACGAAATTTGCGTTGAACCACAAGTCGGAAATTGGGGTCAACCGAAAAATTCAATTTTTCAAAAACTCATTTGTTCTCAGGAACATGCTTAGCACTGTTGTGTTGAATGATCAGTACAGCTTTGGAAGTTTTCCGTTAACTTCGAAGGAAGAAAAATGACTTCAACAAAAGCGCCGGGGATCATTAGGGATCATCCAAAATCTGGAAAATGCGGTTCGTACAGCTTCTCGCTGCTGTTCAATGTGTTCATGGTAAAGGATAGTAGGAATACTTTTGGATAGCTACACAACGTGAAATCCAGATATCCGGAGTTTCAGGACATAAAGCTTTATCTTGAGCTGCGATCCCCTCTCCAGCGGGGATGTTAGTGCATGCGGCCCCTAGATATCTTTGCTCTTCTTTCCTGTCTGACTCATGAAGGTCCTCATACTCTAACTTTAGCATAATGAATGACAACGCATTGCCATACAAGCTGAAAATTACATTGTTTCACCTAGGCATCCTCACAAGAACGTAATTTTGTATATCTTTTCAGAGAACTCGTTCAAAACGCAGTAAAGTCGTACTGAGGATCTATTATGACATTGCTAAGAATGTTTCCGACAACAAGCGGAATGTGAAGGTTTTTAGTTTTTCGATGAACCCCGGCTCGCAAACCTGGCTCATCGAAAATTCCAATATACTGCAATCTTAGTTAACTTACTATAACCCTGTTTAGCAGTGTCATAATATGCCCGCAGTACAACTTTATTGGGTCTTCATCAAGTTCCTGGAAATGATACACGACTTTGAACAAGGGAGTGAAATAAATAATGTAGTTCTCAGCTTGTAGAATAACGAATTAGGGTGAGGGGCGCGGAGCTGACACCATCCAATTAACTGCACGAATTGAGTTTGAAAAATTTTTGTGTTTTGCTGCTTAGATGTGAAAAAAAAATTGGAAAACTTGATAGAGAAACTCGACAAACACAATCTATGCACATTTAATGATCTGCCATCTGACCCACCAATCTCGTCAATATGCTTGTCTCAACAACAAGTTTGAAGAAAAAGCAGTGAGTGTCATAAGCAAGATTGATAGGCGAGCAATTCAACTGTAAAAAGCCTATAAATCCACGTGGCTTGGAAAAGAAGTACGCTGTTTGATATGAATAGCGATTATGTAGAGAACTACCAGTGCAAATTTTATGTCCACATTACCAACAAGAACTAAGGTTTCAGATGGAGCGCGTTAAGCGCTAATTCATTATTCTACTAGCTGAGAACTACACTATTTATTTCTCCCTTGCTCAAAGTGGTGTATCATTTCCAGGAACTTGATAAAGGCTCAATAAAGTTGTAAGGGGCATATTATGACACTGCTGAGGACATAGTGCTATAATTTCACTAACGAATAAATGCGAAGTGGACATCTAAGTTCAAGGCCTATGTGATCAGACAAAAATACTCAAAAAAACGTTTAGATACGAACTACAAAAGAAAGTTATTCGTAGAAGAGAGAAGAATGAATTGAAAAGCAAACTTTTGGTACTGATGATGGTCGAAAGCCCGTTTATTAAGCATTACAAACTTCGCTGAAAACTTTATTGATTGCATATCAGTTTCAAATTGTATAGCAATGTAATTTAAGAGGTCAAAATCAGTGAATTACAGATGAAGAAAGGAGATCTGTCAAAAAATGATCGCTTGGTGAGCTTCAAATCTGGAGTTCGCTGAGCGCCTGCTTCACTCCTGCGTTTGATGATTAGCTGAGCCTCAGCTCTCCTCAGCCATGAGGGGACAGAGCAAACTGTAACAGAGATAGCCAGTTGCATGTCTCTTGCGAGCATTACAGAACAATCACGTTGACTAAGATTTGCTGATTCTTGATGGTTCTTTCATATTTCTGTGTGTAAGTGATTCACGGCGTTTGTGGCACTGCGATGTGATTTGCACATAAACGTTTGGGCTTTTTCGGTTTTAACGAACTGCTAATTTTAACTTTGAAGGCATAACTACTGCTGAATAGCAAAATCTCGGGAACTTATATCTAATATTGACTAATGAGTGGGGGAGGGGGGCTAACTCTGCAAACCATTCGCGTCTTCGATTCTCGTTATCCGTAACTGCGATGTTGGGGACCTCATATGGTATGAAAACTATTCAGAATGATGATTGGAGCTGTCCTCTAGCCATAAAAAAGGGGCGGCGTGGCGTTATGGAGCAAAGCTACGCCGCATTCGCCTGCGGTATATCCTGAGGGCCCTTTGCGTTGTGTCGCTCCTAACTGCACCCGCAGAGGAGCTAGTTTTACCTAGCGGATGAGTCATTCTCGAAATTCTTCTTCTGTAAAGAGACCAAAACGCGGAAGCTCAACGAATTTTGAGGATGAAAAAGTAGACTCTGAGAAAGAAGTGTTTGAAAGTACCATCCAAGAGAAAGCAAAAGCTTGGAAAGTCAGTGACGAAAATCCTCCCTTTTCTCTACTCGTGTCACACTTAAAATCAGTCTTCTCATCCAAGGTTCAGCTTTTGCATCCGTAAAATCCATCTATTTTTCGATTTTAAATACCTTTATTGCATTCATGCAGTTTGGACATCTTCTCAAGACATAGCAATATTGAATGGCTGATCGTTCTCAAAAGCGGTGTGCTCCTGCGGCTGCAATTAAAGGCGATGCAACGCAACTGGCCTTCAGGACATACCGCAGAGGAATGCGGCGCTACTTTGTTATAACGCCTGCCCCCCTAAAAAAGGTATGATGTCGCTCAAAGGTCTCCTTGGAGGTGCTAAATACTCCTGAAAAGTAAGGTGGCTAGGTTCCCAAATTAGAGCCCTGTGGTGAGGAGCTCACAAGGCCGTTGTGTCGTTGGGAGCTCTCATAGCTATTTTGAAGTACCCCGCAGGCATGCACAACTCGGGCTAAATAGTTCAAATTCCCAAAATCTATCATGAAGCTTTACTGACTCTTGCCGTGTTTTCTAATTTTCTGATCAAGATGGGATTACACCTTGCTTGTTCCTCAGGCGAAAAGATATACGAGAGTTTGCATTTTCTAGTTCCCGCACCCTTTGCCTTTATAGCGCCCAATGAACTTAGACAATATTGTCCTCAGTGGCTTTCTTCGCGGTTCTCACTGCATCACATATGTAGTTGAGCTACCTCTGCATCTAGGTTTCCCGTTTATCTTCGAATTATCACAGACTATATTCTCATAAACACGTTATCTTAAAACACTTTCTCATTATAAAATTTTTTTGCAAAACTGCTTTTAAACTGGATTTTTCAAATCAAAAACATTTGTGAGTAATCTGATTATTGAAAGTTCTCAAAAAACAAGGGAATGGTCAGAAACCGAAGTGGCCAAGCTAAAAAAAAGCTGCATACCATTATTAGATGCAGCATAAAACGCTGACTTCGAATTTAAAAACGTTATGTACAGTACTATAATTGCAATTCTTGTAATGTTTCGGGACATAATGAGTGTGTATTGAAAAGTGAGTGTGTGTAAAAACTAAGTTTAAAAATGAGGATCATCTCAAGCAAACTCATTTCAAAGCGCTAGAGTTTCTCTTCCAGAGCGTTATCAAATTTATTACAATTTTCCTTGTCTTTGCGCGAAAAGTAAATTTTTTCGCAAAAGTTCCTTGAACATTTCTTGCAACACCAATTTTCGGGCTAAGCACTGTTTGAAACAGCGCCATGGAAGTTTAGCTCAGAAATGAAAGATTTTGAAAACCAAGCCTGGTGGAGAAGCGCCGAGTGGTTTTATGAAGAGCTGGTATTTATTTTCTTATTGAAAAACACCCACATATTAATTATGCAGTAAAAAATCTTGTATTAGGTTGTCCCGAAAGTTTTGTCCATTTTTTCAACCTATCATAAAAACACGTGGAGCGAAGATAGAGAAACGCTCCAAGCACTACCCGACGCAACTTTTCCTCCTCTTTCTAATCGTCATGCTCCCATTTCGATTACTCTTTTGCTTACTGAGACAAGACAAAATTTCGAACCCGTAGTTTTACTATGTCCAAGTTTGGCAATTTTTCACAATTTTTATTTTTGACTTTCGAAAAAGCTTTGGCAACAGTTAGATAGAGCAAACAAAGGGCAATATAATGCAATTTTTCGGCATCTATAACCAGCCTTGAAAATTTTTTTGAATTATTTTTCTGATGCTATCAAATTCCACTTTTGGTGATGCCATGAACCATAGAACATAAAACGGCGCACAACTAAGGTGTCATTCTATGCAGCTTTTTCTCCTCTTTCCAGTGAGTGTATTTTTCCTCCAATTTGTGGGGTCTTTAGCGATAAAATGTCCATAATTATTAAATTCGACCCCGCCCAGCGTGTACCGTAATGTGCGAAGCCTTATATTTCGAAGCTGTAAACGCTCATTTGCCCTGTAAAAATAGTAAAATCGTAATTGATTTTTGAAAGCTTCAAAATCCGATGATTTGTTAGTGTTCGAGGCGTTTCTGTATTTTGGAACTTCCCAAAAGTGAAGACTTTTGAAAAAATTTTCTTAAAAAATACTGAAATGCCAGCTGGACAAGCCAAAAAATTGCATTGCATTGCTCTTTGTTTACTCTATCTGAGCGCTATCAATGGACTTACAAAAGTTGAAAATGAAGATTGCGAAAAATTGCCAAACTTGGGCATAGTAAAAACTACGGGTTCGAAATTTTGTCTTGTCTCAGTAAGCAAAAGAGTAATCGAAATGGGAGCATGATATTTAAAAAGAGGAGGAAAAGATGCGTCGGATAGTGCTTAGAGCGTTTCTCTATCTTCGCTCCACGTGTTTTTATGATAGGTTGAAAAAACGGACAAAACTTTCGGGACAACCTAATATTTACTTGATCTGATTGTGTCTAACGGAATTTTCTGTATATGGTTGCAATTATCTTTTTGTCAAACAGATGCATTTTGACTCATAATGTCTTGACAATTTTCTAAGACTATTTATCAACCGAACTTGATCGAATATTCGACTGTTTTCGAATTCACTATCGAATATTTGAATGCAATATTCGATTTTCGACTGCAATATTTGGATATTCAGATATCCAAACAACTGTTTTCCAAAATCTCTAATTTTCGGATAACATGGTACATCGGCCGTCGTCAAAGCAAAGGACCAGGACGAGAATCAGTTGCCGTATACTAGCGTGGGTTTTTTCTTACTTTGATCATTTCACACAAGACATCGGAGAAAGAAGCTCGCTTACGGGTAGGATCTTGAGAACAAGCACATCATTCAGGAACACGGGAGCAATAAGTTACAGTATCTAGGCAATTTTTCTCAATGGTTGGACGTACTGCATTAGCAGTAGCGAAAGCGCTACTGACGCGGCATTGCCGTAAACTAAAGTAGCAGAAGAATGTGAGGCAGCAAAGGAGAGCTTTAACAATGAAGAGAAAGATGGCATCCAAAGCAAAGCGATAGAATTGAAAGAAATGACAACGTTAACTTCGACAAACCTGTCGAAATTTGCGGAGGTTTTGGATTCTATGAGTGAGGTGAAAGAAGAGTAAGATCAAGAGACACGAGGCTATCTGGAGAAGGTCAGACCGCGATGGATCACGCTATCACAATTCAACTGAGAAGTATTGAACGCAAAAAAGCAAGAACATCCAACATAACTGCCCTTAGCACGTCGATGGGAAACGTGGAAATAAACAAGGCCGAAATTTTAGCCATTCCAGTTCACACGTTTACGGTTGAATTATGGGAGTTTGAGAACTTTTGGCGATTGTTTGAAGCTAACGTAAACAAGCAACCGCTCAGCAAACTACAAAAGTTCAACTATCTCATAAACTCTCTGCGATGCCAGCGAGCTTATCTGTCGGTTCATTGTTACCGAGGATAATTATGACGAAGCGGTTGGATGCTACATCGCAAATACGTAGACAACAAGACTAATCAACAAGCTTCAGCTTCGTCTTGGACAACTTCGTGCTGATGATACGAGAATAAAGCCTCAACGTCGGCAGTTGGAAGATTTAACACCTCTGGTGTCCCAGCTTGAAGCGCATAGAGTTTATCTGGATGGTTCATACGCTTCGTAGAAACCTCTGTCCAATTTCAATGTTGACGTCCAGCGCAAAGTGCTTCAACATCACCTCACCCCAGGAATGCTGGAAGAAGAATGACAAATGAAGGATACCATTGCAGCCTTGGAATGCTTATCAATGGGAGAGGAGATCAATGAAATGACTGCATTTAGCACTGAAGGAAAAGCAGTACTCAACACGGGGAAGACCAGGATGGTATACACCAGAGAGAATGACTCCACGACAGTTTGCATGTTATCATAGGACCACGGATCATAGGACAGCCACGTGCACAAGAGTTAGATTTGCTTCAGAAAGGCGCCGTTTTTCAAGAGTCTGAGTGTTGTTTGAACTGTGGGAAGATTTCGTGAAATACTGCAAGAGTGTTGGAGGTAGGGGTATGTTTGGAACAAAAACACCATCACGCCCTCTGTTCAGAAAAAAGCTATTCGTGAACGCGTAATTTTAACATAGACTCGAACAAGAAAATCAAACAGTTCACAGGCGATACCACAGCATCAAACGAAAGAACGTATAACCAAAACTATTAAGGATAGAAACGCTAATTGGACACATATTGTCGAGGCAAACGATTCAAGAGACGGGACGCTTTCAAATGAGTGTGAATCAGTTGCCCACCATGAAGAATTTGCTAATCAAAAAAAGCAGATAAGCGGCTGATTCTCACTGGAACAGCAAAAGTTTGGAACAACTCCGAAAGAAAGTAAATAGAAGTCAAAATTCCTTTTGATATCGGCGCCGACCAATCATTCATTGACAGTAGTCTAGCAAAACATTGGAGTAAAATGCACACAAAAGCAACGCCTTCAAATGTACACGTTCGGCACAATGGAGCCAAAGTGTGCCGAATATGGCCTGGCGCATGTGAAAGTCAGTGATCTTTAAGGGAAGCAACGTAAGTTGCGTTTATTCATAACTTCTGCGACAAGAAAAGGAAGTAAGACATCTCTTTGCACCCACGATAAAGCCTTCCTCAGGAAAAACAGGATAACATTGTTTAAGACAAGCCAGACAGGAGATTTTAATCCTGAGATTTATTAGGTTGTGATCAGCTACTTTTTGGAAGGCCTATCTTCGCAATACCAGCTCCCATCAGAACTACTACTGATACCTTCAAAGTCGAATATTTGCTTACGGGAAAGCAACAGAGACCAGTGGATGTGTCGGAAAGGACGGAGTGTCTGACACATCAGTGGCAACGCTCCAGGGAACCGCGAACTTCAAAGCGCTCTTTGAGGACGATAGAGATCGATGGGACAAGCACCGGACCATGGACTCAGCTGGCATACGTGACTTCGCTGGTACAAAATGCAGAGAAGGAGGCTACCAACGCAAAGTTGCGAGATATTTTGAGGATACAATACAGAGACGCAACGGCGTTTACTGTGTACGAAAGCCGTTTAAGGGGGACCACACTCGATTACCGGATAATAGAGCCATAACGAAAAGGTTTGAGGAATTCTACGCAGACTGATTCATATTCTTTTAAAGCATACGATAGAACAATAAACCAGTTGGAAAAAGGAGTAATCGAAAAAATTTTCAGCGATGGAACAATCTGCGAAGAACATTTGCACCATATACCAAATCAACCTGTGATTACGCCACACAAAGAAACGACGAAACTTCGCATAGTTTTTGACGCTTCGCTCATTTCAAGGATCGTCCATCACTGAATTGTGTACTCTATAAAGGTACACTCATCCTTCCAGGACTCTATGCAATGCTACTTCGCTTTTGTATGACACGCTATGTGGTTACTTCGGACGTGGAGAAGGCATTTCTACAACTCCGCCTCCATTAATTAGATCGAGACACTACGAGGTTCTTATGGATGCAAAATATCAACCTACCATTAAAGGAGAGCAACACCATTACCTTCAGATCTGCAAAGTAACATTCAGATTGAATGTTTTACAGTTCTTATTTGCTTGAACGACACGAACCACTTGGAACATCACACCCCCGATCAGCAGCTTGCAAAGGAAATCCGAAAAATCTTTACGTTGACAATCTCATTCTCACAGCACACACGGAAGAAAATCCAAATGAAAAAGCCATCAAAGCACGAATGTTCGTTGCAGGCATGGGCATGAACGTTTGTGAATTTTATCAAATAGAGATAGCTCGAAGAAAACCCTTTTCAAAGAATCAGCGCCCGTAACAAATTCAGAAGGTTCTGGGACTACAGTGGGACGTAGAACAAGAAATGATCACTATCAAGTGCAGCATACCAGCCGAGAAAACTTTGACGAAGAGATTAGTCGCACGTCATATTGCCTCCGTGTACAACCCCTTAGGTCTTTTGGTCCCACTCATGGTTGAATTGAAAGTGTTTCAACAAAAACTGTGGAAACGTGAATTGCAGTGGGATGAAGAAATTCAAGGCAGCTTCAAAGAAAGACGGGATCTCTTAAGAAAAGAGACTGACAAATTTCAAAAGTCCCTTATTCGAATGGCAATAAACAATGCGAAAGAATACAGCCTTACAGTATCTGCAGATGCACGGCTCGCATTTTCCGTTCACGAAGCAGTGAAGACGGAAAATATTTTCCCAAAAAGATCCACATCTTCTCCGGCACACAAACCGCACTAAGCTAAGTATCATCACACTCCCAGCCAGCGGAACTAGGCGTACTAGTGAAAAACAGGATTAAAGAAATACACAAGATTGTTGACAATTTTAAGGAATCAATAAATACCTCAGTTTTTATGTTGCTTTTGAACAAAATTCTACTGATGTTGATCTCGTGGGATAAAAGCAAGCGATTTTAAGGAGCATATTTGGTGGCAGGAACCAATTTTTTCAGCTATTAGAAGCACAATGGCCGACAATTTTTTATACTCTACGCGAGGAAACACAGCAAGAAAAGGCGACCTTATGACGGTGTTAAAAGTCAATGTGAAATCACATCTGGAACAAGACTTGCCTAGACCGCTGCTGGATCTTACAAGATTTTCAAGCCTCATTTCTGCAAAGCGCACAGTAGCAATAGCGCTCATTTTTATCAGAAGAGTGATGCATAGTTTGAGTAGAGAACGTCAAAACGAAGACTTTATGAAGATCAAGCAACTCAAAAATGTTCAGGACAGCCCAGTACCTATTACGGGTACAATCTTCAAGCTGCATGGATAACAATTTTTTAAGATCATCAGAGACGTCACATCTCCTTCAATTACAAAAAATCCATGGACAACAGCTTACGCTCGGTTTAAGTCAGTTATTCAATTTGGCGTTTGCGAGGCCCACTGGGAAAGTTAACACTGAGCAGCAGGATGCAAACTCCCATTTTCATCGCTTCTAAAACTACATTAGCTGACCTGATAATCTCAGAAGCACATGGTACCTATCAACGCAGCATTGGATCCCACAATTGCGTCAACAAGTTAGACACTTTGCTCAAAAAGTGTAATATGTAGGCGTTTCAATGCACTTCCGTACCACTATCCTGAAACATGCGATCTTCCGCAGCGACGAGTGGTCAACCATTTCAACATATAGGTCTGGATTTTTTCGACCTGCCCACAATCGCACTTTTTAGGAACATTGAAAAAATGTCCGCTACCTTTTACCTGACATAACTCTTCAATGAAGCATCATAATAAACTGGGAACTTTACAGTTAGAATCAACAACTCTAATTAGCCTAGTGTAAAAGCTTTCAGGCTGTTTTGTTTCCTTTCTGAAGCAAAATATGGCCTTTCATGGCTCAAAACACTCTTTGAAGTTTCTACCGTAATCCTACAGTGATGAACAGGGATGGGTGATTCGCTCCATACTGCAGATCTAAGTTGAAGCTAGCTCTACAAAACGGTACCTGAAGCAGGGCAAAAGACTTGTTGGGAAGAAAGATATTAACGATCAAACAATGTATACATATTTTACGGACACCCTGTATATCTGGACTGGCGTCGACGTCCCAGAATAGATACTTGCTTCCTGGCATTCTATGGTTTAAATTCTCTCAAATGAGGCAACTCCGCTCATTTCTGTATGCTTGAGGCCAGGACATCTTGCTCACAACTTTTGCAGGAGAACTTAGCTATTCAGTGCATGAAGAATTTTGAATTTTAATAATTTGGGGGTTTCTGACGTACCATGAACAGGCTAAAGAAGTAAGAAATCTTGAATTTCTATATTTTCTTTTCGTAGAACTTCTTCGTTGAAGTCTTTGCTATGCAACCGCATACTACTGGCCGTCTACAAAATGAGCTGATTAGTAGCCAAAAGAACAAAACTTGAAGGAAGTTGTAATCTCTCAAAGACGAGGTTTTTGAAAGAAAAACCTCCGGTTTATTGACCCAAGGTTTCTTCCCGTTTGCCATATTAGTAAAAGCAGGTGCGCGCTAGGTTAAGAAATGTTTACTGCTTCTGCCTTGATCGCCTTCGAAAATATAGAGATTGGGCAAGGTTATAGCTTCTAATGAAACTTTGCAAATTATTTATCACATTATAACTGACATTATTTATGCACCAATCTAACAATATGATTGGACAAGATAAAAGAGGACTCAGGAAATTTGAGATAAAATGATTTGAAATATGTGTTTGTTGTCAAAACAGTATAGTTAAGACTAAGTGGTGCATCGAGAGATCACTTTATGTTAGTATGAAGTGTCAGCTTAGATTTAACATTGCTCTATGCTACGATTAAAATTACCATGATCAGCCACGTTTGTGAGTACGGGTTATCGCTTTCTGGAAGATTTACCCTCAAAGGTTAGCGTTCACCCTCAGAGTTTTGATGGGTACGGGTTAATCGCTTTCCATAGTAATGTTTACCCTCAAGGGTAGATTTAACCTTGAGATTAAGCTTACCCTGTGCTTCATAAGTACGCACTTTATGCTTTTGGGGTAAAACTTAGCCAAGGGGTGTTTGATCTCAGAGTTCCATGATGAATACGACCGCTAAAGGGTTAAGAGTGTTGGAAGTATTGTGTTCTAAGCGCTAGTCTACGCTAAAGATCCCATACCATCCAGGAGTTTGTTCTAATGTAAAAAAAGCCTTAAACACATTTGCCAACACAATAAAGAGCAAAAACATACCGCTGCTGACCATTCGTGTAATGATTCCGCACTGCTCTTTGCAGAAACTCAATTTGAGCTTTCATCTCATCCTGTGCCGACAGCAGGCGCTGCATGGAATGATGCATTTCTGCTACTAACTGTAAAGCTATGCCTAAGGCTGCATCAGAAATGGCGAAGAATGGCGAGCAGCTTACGCGAGTGACTTGCTGAGTATTCGCGGCATTGTTTTCCGAAAACACCCGCATCTCGTTCTTGATGACACGAAACCTGATATGGAGCGACGTTTACAAGCGATTGTTTGTTGAAACTTGGAAAAACCACTTACTCATGTATGGCTTTGAGAAACTTCCGCTGGTTAGTTCGAAGTCGACTATCAGGCCCACTTCTAAGGCATTTGTGAATACGCCATGTGTGTTGTAGGACCTAAGAAAAACTGTGCTAAGTACGAGGGCGAATGACATACGTTGCAGACAGGCTGCTACCCGCGCGGGCTCCTGCCGCAACCTCCGCATCTTTACGAGTTTCAAGCTGTATACTTGTTTAGGTATATGCAGCCTAATCGCGACCTCCTTTATCGCATAAGCTAGAAAACAAGCAAATATAGTAGATAGAAGACATAGTAGATAGTCACAAGCTTCTGCTTTAGATAAAAGTGTATGAGTTCTTTTCCAGATTTTCCTCTGATAAAGCTTTGAAACCAACTTCGACTTTCTACTATATTCATTCACCAATTCTCGGTACCCATTCATTTCGGTCCATTTAATTCTTTATGTATAAAATGAAAGGGGCTGATCGAGCAAAAGCTAAGACATTTGGTACCTAAAGATAATGAGCAGCACTTCCCTTTCTTTCATTACCTGGTTTTCGTTTACAGGGAGGGGGATCCACGACAGAAGCTATTTAATAGCTGTAAATCCGCATTGAATACCTACCTCAGATTTTAATCTGCAGATTATTCCAAGGATCAGATATGAGGGTTTGTTTTCGCAAATGTCAAGTTTTGCTGAGTACGACTCGTAACAAAATTCAGCGTGCAAAGTAAAAGCAATGTACGTGGAGCCCAAGATGGTTTAATTCAATTCTTCCGTTGGTAGATTTTTGCTCATTCCTGAAATGCTTTCGTTTTGCTTAACAACTCTGTCAGTGCATGCACCTCTAAAGCTTCATTCAAAGTTTCCCCACCTGTGCTGGCACCGAGACGAAGCCGAGATAGAGTCTCATATAATCGCAGGCACTCAAATAATCGCCGTGGACAAGCAGACAGTAAATTCGCGCTTTCTTGCAGGCGGTCAGCAGAAATTTTAGACGTGGCCAAGTTTTCAGAGAGCGGTACTGTACCTCCAATGTCGCATGTTCTGTCGCGAGCAGCAATACAGAGTTTTCTGCAAGGGGTCGTCAGATAATTTTTTCGCGAGCGCTGTGACTCTTGTTACGCAGTTTCGGGCACACACCAAAAAAGGTAACATCCTATATCGCCAAGTCTAAAGTATTTCCTCTCAGCAGAAGGTACCTACGAGCGTTCTGATTCTTGTTACGAAGAACCGCGCAGCCCTCAGCAATTTTGCAAATTCTAGCGGAACAGCCCACAAAGATGCGGCCACTGCGCCGCAATCAATCTATGGAAGAGCAACGATTGTTTCTGAGCGTTCGTTTAAAAAATGGCCAACATTCTTCCGAATATCTGCACGCGAACCGCAAGAAAGCAACGAACTATTTTACCGGTCCCTTTTGCCTATAGATAGCACATCCGCCTATCCTCCCACGATTCTGTGAGCAGGAGGACCGTAAACTCGCGTTTTCTTGCAAGCGGTCAGGCAAATTTTGGAGAATGGCCAAACTTCAAGTGGTACTTCCTTTTGTCGCATGTTCCGCCAGCGGGCAGCACAAAATCTGCGAACGCTTGTCGATTAAGTTTGGGCGCATCGATCCTTCCGGCAAACGCGCATCATTCAGTCAGCAAAAAGGCATCTTTCGCAGTCAAGCAATCATCTTTCTTAAAGCTTCTAGCCAGAAGGATACAGAAGTGGCGGAGAGATAAAAGATGTCGGAGAGATACAGAAGTGTTTCCATTATCACAATAGTTGTATTTTTACTCAAGTTTTAGTATCAGTTGATAAACAGCAAGCGCCTTTTTTGATTGACAAATTTTGAGGGGACAATCTTCGATAGTTCCCTTTTCTTTGATAAATTTCTGCATATTCCACTGCTTATAATCATCATCTTATACATAAAGCTGAAAATCTGTTTGTCTGTCTGTATGCATGTACAATGCGTTTAACGAGGCCAGCACCGCGTAGTGCAGTCACTCTGCGCGCGAGCGTTCCGTACGCGCAGCGTGCAGGGACCATGCTGCGCACAACATCGCGGGCCTTATTTTTATCATTGTAAATTGCGATTTCCCGTTTGTAGCAGCGGATTGCCATTTTTCTTGCTTCTATGCTCACATGCGATCTGTCTTGATACCGGCTATGATTTTTTTTCGCAACATAGGAAGAAGGTGTCAAATCTTTGAGCGCTTTTCCTCTTGACATCTTTCGTTTAATCCACGCCATCTTTGAATGGCTTCACTACATCGACTCATGTTTCAGCGGACATAATCGTATATCGTTCAGGTTTGAGTAAACAGCTCCAACGCGCTGTTTACTCATACTGTTCTCTCAACCGGTACGACATACGTTTATGCCTCAAATATTCACCTTTAGCTGTAAGGAGGAAGAGCACCAGGCGTTTCTAGAATTCTCAAGTAAAATGACTCTGATTACATCTTCTTTTAGACGTCAAGCCTCCAATCTGTCTGCCATTCGCGAAGTAATACTTTGAGAGATCTCAGGAAGTACCGAAGTAGCGTTTCAGACAGGAGAAAAGCTCAGAAGTTTGGGCAGGACAGCTAATAAGCTAAGAAAAAAGCAGGAAGATAGCTAAAACAGGACCACGCCGCTTTGCGCGGCATGATCCCTGCACGCTGCAGCACACGGTAGCGCTCGCGCGCATGTGTGTGAATGCACAACGCGGCGCTGGCCCCGTAAGATGCATTGTATGTATGCCTATACGTATGTTCCAAATGGAAAATTCCATTTCTGAATCGATCGGGACCCTTTGCACACATACACTTTGGGATCGGGCGGGTGTCACAGGCCACTTTTCGTCATCGATCGATATAATTTTTATCGATTTGTATCGATTTTTTGTAATGACCTGCGGGGCTGGAAGTTTGCACAGGGGGAGGGGGGTAATCGAAGGCGTTGATTACAAATACAATATAAATTTTTGGAATTATCTGCCACTTTTATCGATTGTATCGATTTTTTGCAAAGTTGAGTTATGGGGAGGAGTTGGCATAGGAAGGTAATCGAGCATGCTGATTACGAATACAATATTAGTAAAATTATCCATTAGTTTTATCGATTTTTTTTGTAAGTTTTGAGCTGAGGCCGGGAGTTTGCACAGGGAGTGAGCATGTTGATAACTAACACAGCGGGAATAGGAAGTTGGAGTTGGTATGTAGAAGTGGACACAGGGAAAGGCTGCACAGGGATAGGGATGGGAGCTTTATCACAGTGCTTTGACAGGGCCGGGCGGAGCCGGCTAAGCCAGCTAGTCTTATATATAAAGCTGAATGTCTGTTTGTATGTATGTCTGTCTGTCTGTCTGTCTGTATGTGTGTACGTATGTTCCGAATAGAAAATTCCATTTCTGAACCGATCCGGACCAAACTTGGCACACATACACTACGGGCCCCGGCGGGTGTCATAGGCTACTTTTCGTCATCGATCGATATCGATTTTATCGATTTTTATCGATTTTTTTGCTGAGTTCACCTACGGGGCTGGGAGTTGGCACAGGGGGGTAATCGAGCATGGGGAGTCCGAATACAATATGGTTTTCAGGATTATCGATTACTTTTATCGATTTTATCGATTTTTTGCAAAGTTTGAGCTACGGGGCTGGGAGTTCGCACAGGGGGGTAATCGAGCATGCTGATCATCCCCAAGGGGGGGGGGGGGGGGATCAGCATGCTCGATTACACCCCTGTGCCAAATTCCAGCCCCCTAGCTCAAATTTTCAAAAAATCGATTCGATAAAAGTAATGGACGATCTTGAAAACTAATATTGTATTCGTAATCTGCATGCTCGATTACCCCCTGTGCAAACTCCCAGCCCCGCAGGTCAAACTTTACAAAAAAATCGGTAAAATCGATAAAAGTAATGGACGATCCTGAAAACTAATATTGTGTTCGTGATCAGCATGCTCGATTACCCCCCTGTGCATAATCCCAGCCTCGCATATCAAAATTTACAAAAAATCGAGAAAATCAATAAAAGTAACCGATAATTCTGAAAACTAATATTGTATTCGGAATCCCCATGCTCACTTCCCCCCTGTGCCAACTCCTAGCCCTGTAGGTGAACTCTGCGAAAAAATCGATAAAAATCGGTAAGATCGACATCGATCGATAACGAAAAGTGGACTGTGACACCCGCCGGGGCCAAGTGTATGTGTGCCAAGCTTGGTCCGGATACGGCGGAGCCGGGTAAGCCAGCTAGTGTCTTATAAAAATATGCAGGGACTTGAGTATTTTTTTAAATGTTTAAAATAATTTTTAATATTTCTATAAATTCAAATCAGCCTTGTGAAGAAATTTTCAGCGTGGCTAGCGCCACGCCCCTTTTTCTCATATTCCGGTTGTAGGCCCAAAATTATGGAAATCATCTCAAACTTTTGGGTTTGCGTGTCTAACGCCACGCACCTTTATTCGAAAAAATTTTTTGACGCTCCCCCGGACGGAAATCCTGGTACCGCCACTGCTTCAAGTGTACTTAAGCAATGCCTCTATCTCAAAGCGGTCAAAACTTCAACAACTTGTTCACCTTTGCCGCCGCATCCTTGTGTTCCCTTGTCAATTTGCTGTCATGCATGAAGTTGTTGACGTTGCGTTGCCCTTGAGATAGGAGAATATTTCTTGATATGACTGCTATAAGGATCGAAGAAATGATTGCTCCCTGAAACGCAAGGTTCGAACGGGGTAGCTAGCAAAAAGCTATTTGGCAAGAAAGTTTCTAAACATTTGAAATAGACAAAGATTTTGTTTCGACATGGTTACTGAGGGGGTAGAAGACTATATTTTGCCAAAAAGAAGTGATCCCACGCTGACATCTGCAACGGACCGCGCAGCCTTGCACATTTAAACATAACAGACTTATACCCGTTATCGACGCGGGTGGAGCCTTTTGGCGACATATAATCCCCTATCAATTACTGAGTATTGCCCCTATATTCGTCTAAATAGAGCAAAGCAAGCATTATGACAAAATACCAAGTACAGGCTTACTCAGTAACTTCCGTGCAGAGTCAAACTTCGAAAACATAGAATTCAATTCCAACTATTACCCTTTTGCTTCCCTCTTGCTTCAGGGAGCATTTTGTACAGAGTAATTTCCCTTCATAACGCCCTCTTGATGACTGAAATTGGTACCACTGCGTTGTATACTGTTTATTGAAAAAAAGCGATGCAAACACTGAATATCAATAGTGGATATGCAGAACAGCCGCAGACGATAGTGGTTTAATCGAAAAGACACCAGAGTTCTGCATTCAGGCCCTTTGATGCCACCAATTTGGGCGTAAATCTATGATGATGTAGATATAAATGACACCTAGATCTAGATCTTAATCTAGACGCTCACTTTCAAAAAACAGTATCAAACACAAATGAAGGATTGCTTACATGAAAAGGCATTGCCAAGTAGATTAGCACAATGGAGAGGTGACTTGGCGGCTGAAGCGCTCAGTGAACAATAGCGTTAATCAACGAAAAGCTAATAAAGCTGAATAAGAAATAAGCAATGAATCAACAACGAAAAAGGTTGTAGAATAGGTAGATAACCTACGACAGTGGGGCGCGCCATGGCAGGTGCAAAAGCAAGAGAGTGTAAATTACAGTAGTTAGCTAAGAGTTACGCAACCTTGAAAGTTACATCAGTCAAAAACAGCTAAGTTACATATACCACATTTTCTACTACTGTCTTGTTGTTCTCTTTTGAGAGTCGCGGCATGGCCGGCCACTGTGCCGTGGTCAGCCTTCGAGCCCATAAGCGACGCTCAAGCGGAACAATCCAGTTCAGCATCAGTATTTCCCGTCATGTAGTCTATGAGCTCTTGATTCCCTATAAACAGTCCATCAAAAGCGCTTTTACGTTGACCGGTTCTGCTTCTTTGATAACCTTACATACTCTACGGGTATCTGCCTCGTAATCTGATAAGTAAGCTTTCTTGCGTGGAGGTTGCAAGTTGCACATTCAAGCCGCTTTAGGACTTTTGCGAACCTTCGAAATTTCTATGCTTGAAGGACGAGCATAAGTACTGATTGAAACTACTGAGATCGCAGTGTTCGCCAGACTCCTTCCGTTTGGTCATATCTTAATGCCCACCGTCTTCGGTTATGCCATTTTTGGAAGTAGCCGAATAAATGAATACATAGTTAATTTCTCGAAATTAGTCAATGAGATTTTCACCAATGAAGATCCCGGTGCCCTAGTAAAATGACGTTTTTCAAAATCCGGCCGTGCTACCCAAAATTTTGTTTTATCAATCCTTTACAGCTGAGCTTGACCAGGGGTGATCACCACATTAGCGAACGATGAGCGTGCATTTTCTCCGCTTTGGCAGCATCTCCACCGGACGTTCCCAGTGTAAGCAAGACTTCATAGAATGTGAAATGTGCGGTAGATCCTTCGAAGCCGCCAATTTTAGAAGTAATGTTCCAAGCCACTAATAAGCCACGAGCTCTAGTCTTCTTTGTATTGCTAAAGCTTTTCTGCGCACCTGGAAGAAAGCACTTACGGGCAAATAGCTGGTGAAAATGTGGTTGTATGTGAGTGCAGTCGTTTCAACAGTGCCTGCTGCGTTGTCTTTCTCGCTTCGTGCTCTCTCTGTAAAAAATTTAAAATTTTGCGCAAGTTCCGGTTCTCTCGAAAGATGTTGATCGCGACCTGTGGTTGCGGTTGCTTAGTTATTGTGCCTTTGAATGCTGAAAAGCCATTCATGCATATGGCAGGTTTCCGCGACATTTGTAGCGTGATTGCGAGCTCGTATAATCACTGATTTTGTAATTAGTTTGAAGACATCTGAAGCACAGCTTTCGTTTTCTAGCTTTACCACGTCGTTCGCTGGTGCCTTGAATGTTGTGCATCGCATCATTTCCCAGATACACTGAGTACTCGTAGTTCTCAAAAATGTACTTTCCTGTCCATGTTCCAAGTTATATACGATTAAGTCTTAATCAAAGTTCAGCTTCCTATTAATTTCTTGATCAGGAGTAAAGCATCTTGCGGTACACTATTCCTGTGTTGACCTAGCGAAAACGAAGGTTTCAAAGCAACAGCATGTTCCTGAGCATCCAAGATTTCTTTTGTTGCGAAGATCTTCTTTGGTTTTGCTTCTTGCAAAGTGCTCAATCGTTCAGTTGAAAGCTTCATACTTTTTCTCTACTAGTTGTTGTCTGAAGAAATCTCCTGCACATTCGATATGAGTAAGCTTTTTGGTCACCCTCGTTCGAGCTTTTCTACAGTTGTGGGTATCTCCTTGTTCGTGAAGCCTTTCAAGCTTTGCGATAAATAGGTCTGCTATATGTACATCCAAACTTATTGAAGCATTTATCCAGAAGTAGCGTAGCTTTGCCATAGTCCTTCTCTCCGGTGACTGGCATGGTGCCAAAAAGAGAAGCTGATGTTTTTTTTTGGATGCCTGTCTCAAAAAAGAATTTATCTTTGTTGCTATGCTGCGGATTGCTATGCATAAGTGAGCTGAAGATTGTCAAGATGTAGGATACTCCTTGCACCACAAATAGTTGAAACTTTGGGTTGTGGCGATCGTACTTTGTTTTCAAAAGACTGCCTTTAAGATAAGCAAACTCCGGGTCTAGGTTTCTCCACTGAAATTGAACGTGGCGACATCGCTGAAATGTGGGTCCTGATCATATATGATTGCCTTCCCGAACTCTTTTACTTCGTGCTTCAGTTTTGAAAACTGGATTGTTTATCTGTACGCAACTTGCCTAACTGTTCAGAAAGCTGTCAAGATTGTTCATCAACTTCTCTGTTGCCCATTGTTCTTTCCTTCCTCCACTGTAGATTAGGGCATTCTGTATCTGCACTCCGCGAGTCCAATCAGCGAAATATGTGCCTATCAATTACTGCCCTTCTATAGGCTTTTGAAACCTCAAATCTGATGCTGCAATTAAAAAAAAAGATCTACGCTTCTGACTTTGCTTTGCATGCTTCTGATCGAAGAGCAAGCCATTGCAATGGTCTCAAAACCTGCGAGCCCAGTCACTCAGTCGGATGTCCAATTGTTAACGCGCTTGTGCGAAAAAGTTGTGGTGACCGTAACAAGTTTTATACACGCAGCTTAAAGCAATGCTTCAACTGGTTATTTCTGTGGAATTCTAAATAGGCACGATGTACGCGCAACTGTAGCTATGTAGTTGACACAAGTATGATGTGGACCAGCTGGTCGGGCAAACTGGGATTTGGCTATTGACTGGATTATGACCAGCATGTTGAGAACAAGTAAGTCTAGCACTGATACGCGTGGCTTTGATAGTTCCTAGCAAGCGTGCTGACGGACGCAAGGGCTATGTTGACTGGTTTGGTTTGGACCTTGCTCAGTAGAGGATTGAGAAGTCCTTGAAATCTGATACCTTGATTGAACTTTCAATATCTTAATCGAAGAGAGACCTTCTGGTTCCTTATAAAAAAAACGCGTGAAAAGAATTTTTGATTTTTGGGTTTGCTTACAAAAATCCTTCCCAATCTTAGATTTATTACGAAAAGGAGGCGTTAGGAGAGTTTTTAAGAAATTTTTGTAATCAATTACTGTCGACTGGTGAGCGCGCAAGGAGAGTTCTAATTTGCTAATTAGCTAGATTGCATCTTTAGAACCCTCTGGATTCTTACGGAACGAGCGCGCAAAGAAATTTTCAGTTGATTAGCTGCCCCCCTGCTGTTTTCTTCGTTATCCTCTCGCTTAAGAAGAGAGCGCGCAAAGAGGTCAAGCTGTCAGTGGCTCAGGGGCCTACCACGTGGGACTAAGCAAACGACAGAATGTGATCCGTGAACCGATGCACCAATTTGGATAAATCAAGTACCACCACGTTGTAGAAGTGTTCATTAAATAGTAGCGGAGCAGCTGCTGAACACCAACAGTGAATAATGCGGAACAGCCGCTGACGATGGTGTTGCCAATCGAGCCAACACCACGCCCATTCATGCCATCGATTTGAGCTACGGCTCAAAAGGTTAATTCCAGTAAACGATAGTCTTACACTGAAGGAATGTCTATATGAAAGTAAAAGCCGTCAAGTAAACTAGTAAGCACACTGAATGACAAGGCGGCTAAAGGGGTCCATAAATAGTAACTTCTGTCAACAATAAAGATACTGATAACTAATATAACGTATGCAATGTATCTAAAACGAAGAAGATTGTAGACTAGGTAGATTCGACCACACTCTTGCTCTAATACATAGTGGACACACAGTTATATACAGGGTGTCCCAAAAAATGTATCGAACGTTTGATCGTTGCTAACTCTTTTGCAATAAAGTCTTTCGAAAAGCTTTGGATACCACTACGTAGATCTAGGTTTGAATTAGAATTACGGTAGGAAAGGAATTATGATCGCTTTTCATTACAGTGAAATTACGGTAGGAACTTCAAAAAGGGTTTTAAGCCAGAGAGGACCGTATTTTGCCTCAGACAGGAGACAAAACAACTCAAAAACTACATAGGCTAATCCTAGTATGATTCTAAATTGAAGTTTTGCACCTTATCACAATGCTTCGTTGAAGATATGGCAATTAATTTGGTCCAACACATAATGTGATGGTTACAGTCATAGTTACAGAATGTTAACCATATCATCTTCTGAAAATTTCTTCAGTCGGTCTTACAAAATCATGAACATGCATGCATCACGCTACTATGATCTTATACATAAAGTTGAATGCCTGTTTGTATGTCTGTATGTATGTATGTATGTATGTATGTCTGTAAGTACGTATGTTACGAATAGAAAATTTTATTTCTGAACCAATCCGTACCAAACTTGACACACATACACTTTGGGCCCCGGCGGGTGTCATAGGCTACTTTTTGTCATCGATTAATTCGATTTTATCGATTTTTTTGCGGACTTCACCTACGGGGCTGGGAGTTGGCACAGGGGGGTGATCGAGCATGCTGATAACGAACACTATATTAGTTTGGTTCGGCTATCCGGGCACCAAATTTTTTTGTTTTAGAGCTTGCTCAAACTTCGTGTATAAGGGTTATCTTACATGCTAATTACAGATATCACACTTTCTCCGCAGAAAGTCTCCCCGTGTAGTTACGATAGGTGTACGGTAGGGAGTCAAAATCATGAATTCGGCTGGAGTACGGTCCAGAGAACTTATTCGACATGCCGATTACGAATATCATACTCTCTTTGCACATTGGGACCTTTTCATAGAGATGGTAGTTGTACGGGATGGAGTCGATAACATAGACACTTGCTTTAAACTTCGTCTAAGGTGGTCATTTAGCGCGCTGAACATGAATATCATGCTGATTTCGCAGGATAGGGCAGTTTCTTGGGTTACGGTGGGTGTGGATGGATCGAAGTTCCAGACGGTTCACAAGTATACTGCTTATGAATATGATGCTTGCTCGCTGTCATAACGCATTTAAAGTTATGGTGAGTTGCAGGGTTTGCATAAAATTTTTTCGCTTGCGGGCCAATTCAGACAAGATATTCGCGAAATGGGGGAAACGGTCGTTTTGCATGGCGGTCTTCAGCGTCCTGATAACCTGTCCCAACGCATAACGCGGCAATTCTCCCTCCCATGTTTTTGCTTAGGCAAAAGCCGCCGAAGGGTGTATCGCGCGCAGCAGTGGTCCTATAAGGAAAGCGTTACGGTCGTGGGAAACTTTTATACCACACGAATTGCCATTATCATGGAGATTAAGCACGATATTCTTGAAACAGCACTTTAGGTAATTCCCTGCCAGAGTTCAGGCTGATTCATGATTTTTACCCGCTGCCACGCGAGATGATTACGATATTAGTCATCAGCGGCTCGAATAACCCCCATATACCGAGTTTGAGCAAGATCCGTCACAAAAACATTTTGGGGCCTGAATAGCCGAATAGCGCCATCAGTTTTTAAAATTACCCTTACTTTTATCGATTTTATTGTTTTGCAAAGTTTGAGCTACGGGGCTGGGGATTGTTGAGGGAGGTAGCTGAGCATGCTGATTACTAACGCAGCGGGAATAGGGATGCATGTAGAAGTGTGCACAGGGAAAGGCTGTACAGGGATAGGAATGGGACCTTTGTTACAGTGTTTGACAGGGCCGGGCGAAGCCGGGCGAAGTCAGCTAGTTGTTTCATAAGTATTTCATCTTACACTGAACTACGGAGTTTCCAGTTGGTGAACATCATCATTGCAATTTTGGTAAAGTGCAATGAACGCGGTCAAGCATGAGAATGACTGGAAGTTCGGCCCAAACGATATCGCCTTGCTTGATCCAGAATCAAGTAAAAAGTGCCCAACTTCCTCGTTTCTGATTGGTTACTCGTGGTTTCTTTGAGATGACAATGTGAAGCTGTTTACACCGTATGATAGTACCTTAAGTTAAGATGATGCTGACCAAATTACTATCACTGCAGGTTTTTTCGATTTCCCAATAAAGTATCTGCACCGTACAAAAAGGTTTACTTGTACAATAATTTTTATACTTAGAGTCATGAAAACTCTATTACGCAAGTTTTCAGATTTTTTTGAAATTGTTTGAAACCACCTTTTTATGTGATAATATATGCAAAAAGTTTCTACCGTGCTACGTAATGAAGATTAATTGGTGATTCGCTCCAGTTGAAGCTAGCTTCATAAAATGATACCTGCTGTTTCGGAAGAGCTATAACAAGAGAGTTATACGGCCAAAGTTCGATACATCTTTTTGGGACTCCCTACGCATAAATCCACAATCTGCATAGAATTTGTGTTTATATCACAAAAGGAGGTGATTGGAAAGTGGCGAAGTCCGTCCTTAGTTTTTGAAGTCCTCTTACTTGCTCAAATGTGAATTACACATATGCGAGTGCATTGAAACTTTTCACTTTTACATGCCAACTGAATTCTGAGAAAAAGCAAACTTATCCACTTATCCTTTGAATGTTTCAGAACTTTCTTGCCAATCTAATAAAGAAACAAATTACGTACTACTACCCCAACGAATATTGCAATAATCCTGCCAGCATGCGTTTGCGGAACAATATCGCCATAGCCATTCAACATAAAGGTGATTGCTGCAATTGCACAATCACTAAGATATATCACAGGCTTCTTTAACTGACCAATAAACCACAAAGCATTAGAGTACAGGATCGATGGCACATCTTGGTCAGCTCGTCCAAATCTGGCATAATTCTCATTTGCTGCAGCCCATTCCTTATTATACACATAAGCACCTCTCACACTGCACAAATGTCCATGAAGTAACTATCCAAAAGATAACGGTAAAAGTAGTCAGAAACAGAACTGGCTGCTGGTCCAACACTGTCTTTAGAACAAATGAAAAATTGACTTGAATGCGATTTAACGCAGCCAGCGTTCGTGTGGAGGCATCCTGTAAATCACGGAATTTCAGAATTTTGCAGGTATAAAAGTTGAGAATGACCTGGAATTGCTTACTGTGAAGAACCATAAATCTACCCAACAAATAAATACGTGACAACATCAGAATCGAGAGTGGCACATCGAAAGGTACCTCAAAACTAGCATTTAAAACAAGGAATTCTTATCATAAAGCTTTTGAAGTTGAATATTCAAGTTAGCCAGGTGAACCTTAATATAGTCCCATTTGATGGAACTCACTATAGTCACTTTCCAGGTTTTGGGTTGTGATGGTCGTGTGAGCTTGCACAGCTTATTTGTCTGCGTTTCTTAGCCCAATGCATCAATGGCGGTCCGAGAAATTTTTTTCGGGGGGGGGGGGGGGGGCGACAAAAAATTTTTTCTAAAGAAGGTGCGTGGCGTTAGCTACGCACTCCGAAAAAATTTTTGGGGTGCTTCTCAAAATTTTTGCGGGTCCCCGACCCCTAAAATCTGGGAAAAGGGGGCGTGGCGTCAGCCACGCCCCCGAAAAAAATTTTTTTATAAGGCTAAAATGAATTTTTAAAAAATTTTAAAAATTATTTTAATTATTTTCAAGTGCAAACAAGTCGTTTGCACATTTTTATAACCCATATAGGTAAGTTTCAAAAATTTCGCGACCCATCCTCAGGGGGGGGGCCATATAGCATATTGTATCCTTTAGCCATCCCCCACTATGGTCCGCCGTCTCAACGTGGCGTGGGGGTGGTCCTGGGTGTCGAACTGCAATGTACAATCGGCGTATAATTTGGTAGCGTCCCTTAGCAGTTCGAAATTTTGCCGGATCATCGCCGCCTGGCTTTTGTGATCGCTAGGTGGTCCCCGCTCCATATGAATTAGCGATCGCCCCGTGGAAACCACGAGCCGGCCTAAGCCTGCTTTTGTAGGAAAAATTATCAATACTCGATTAGTAAGAAGAATGGAAAGAAAATCTGCACATCTGTAACCTATGGCGCAGGGTGGTAGCAAGAACGATGTCAGAGTCCTAAAGGCGCCAATTGTATCGATTAAAAACAGACATCTGCCTGTACTGCACGCTTTTTAGACTGCCCACTGCATCTACAAACGCCAGGACATTCTCCATAAACGCTGATTCCCAAGCTCTTCTCGACACTGCAGCACATCAAAACCGCATCATAGCTCTGCAAGTGGAGACTAGAAAGAAGGACGTGCGCCAGATGAGTCATGAGACCCTCATCATTCGTGGTGAAGATGTTCTATCACGAAACGTTGAAGGCGTTGGCCTTGTCGTCCACCGTCTATCATCCATCTTACCTCGACTAGCCATTCTACGATTATAACCTCCACGTCAGAAGACCATCAGCATCATTACTTGCTATCTCCAACATCATCAATTTGCAAATTGGAGCTATCTGCTTTCTACAGAGGTGGAGGAAACGCAAAGAAGTTTCTAAAAGTTTGTTGTTGGCGACTTCAACGCGAAAGTTGGAATCGCACCAGAAGTGGAATGTAGGATTGGGAAGAATGGATATGAGCTTTGAAACTAAACGGCAACCGTCTTATTGGGCTTCCCTCTGCCGCACGCTTTTTTTGTGGTATTCCATATTTACGGAGAAAGAGCATCGTCGCTAGACATAACTGCCTAATGGAACGACTCACGCGGAGATCTGACCACATTATCAACAGCCGAAGGTGGGATTTGCTCAATGTTTCCGTGTGGCTCCAATTACCGTCCCGTCTCCTTCGACGAAGGTCTCCTCAGCCGAAAGGTGGACAAGAAGGTCTGCCACAATGCCGCAAGAAGGAAAGAAGTCGTTCATGACGGTCACAGGCTGAAAGAGCTATATCAAGCTGTGACTGGCCAATCCAGGAGGACGCAACTGCGGATGCAACCCATTTGGAGCGACCGATAGCAACGCCAGTTGCAGAACAGCTTTGCAGGGTGATCTCAGGGTTAGGCAGACTGCGCGGCGTACGCGACGTACGCCGCTTCCCCGCGAAATCTGGCCCGACCCTCAGGAAGTACAGGCAAGCCGAAATATTGGAAGCACGAAGGAAGACGAAGTTTTAAGAAGTGCCAGAGAGACCTCTGTGGATAGCACGTACCGCTGGCTGCACTATTAAACGAAGACAGGACGCCAACTTTTTATTGATATAAAATGGAATCTATTGCGAAGAACTTCTACATTAACCTCTTCCGCTCATCAGCACTCGTGCCGATGCCCGCTGTTCCCACTAGAAAAGTACACCACGATTGAAGTGCGTACCACAATCCAGATCATGAAGACGTCCGCAAGTTTAAAACCATTTCTTCTTTCAGTCGAACTTCCGCAAGCAGGAGAAGAAGGCCTATGCAAGATTTCCGCGTCGCATCTAACCCTTCGAAGCAAAGGATTCCAGGCCAATAAAGAATCCTTTTCCTCAAGAAGAGCGGGCGGGAGAATCTTCTGAACTACCGTCCAATATGCCTGCTGCGTGTGTTGTACAAGCTTTTTACGAAAACTCTTCTCGCTGGCACATCTAGGACACTGGATAAAGCTCAACCCCAAGAACAAGTTGAATTTTGCAAAGGATTCAGGTACATGGACCACATCGAGACGGATTTAAGGTCATAAAAGTCTGCCGGTAATACTGACTGCCTCTCGTCGTAATCGTGGTTAACTATGAGAAACTCTGACAGCGTCGAAACCAGCGCTATCCAGTCGATGAACGAGTGGACCCAGCTTAAGCGTGGCACATCAGCCGACTGCTACTATCGCTGGACTAGGACTAGAGCACCATATGAGTTCTCGGAAGATTTCTTTCGAACCTTCGTTCTCCGGACGGCATCGCTCTTTTATCAGTATCATTAAAACAGAGACGATGCTGAAGAAACTAAACGAAGTAAGGCGAAAGATCGACTGCGAAAAAATCGGAAGAAGGCTCACTTCACGAAAAGTCCTTGCGAAGAAGGGGAAGTAGAATTGGAAGGAACCCTTCCACAGAGACGTTTTCTCACGTGTAACTTGAAAGTTTAATGAATATAGGAAAGAAGTGAGGGAAGGACTTAACAAGTGAAGAAGAGCAACCGGGCTTTGAAGGAAGCCCCCGGCATGAGCCTACCTCTACGACTTAATCGTACTCTCGGCCTCTGTTACGAAGCTGACAATTCGGCAAACACTTTAGCCGTTGAACACTCTACGATTTGTCCACAGAGCGCTTAACCGCAGTCTTTTGAAGATGACTCGACACAAACAACATCTTGTCGGACTTTGCAGCACGTGAGAAGAATGTCTCGCCTGTGACCTAGCGATATACGCTCCGAAAGCGAAGCATCGAAAAGCCGGTCACATCATGAGAAGAAATGGCGATAGATGGACCCCAAGAATATTAGATAGGATGCAGAACACCTCCAAAAGTGACTTTCAACGAGATGGCAGACGTGTTCGTGATATGAGAAATTAGCTGGAAACTTCGCAGCTAAAACTCGGTGGACGCAGCCACCGAAAGCAACCAAGAAAATCGTGGGTGCCTAGAACGGGGGACAGAAACATTGGAAACTGTGCTCGGGCCGGCACCTCACGTGAAGACAGATTTTTTTAAGCACAGTGCATAGATTAACAATGTCTGCGGCAGCGCGGCGTGCACTAAATCGTAGCAAAAGTACGATTTAGACGATTGCGATTTGTGCTGAGACAAGCGTTTACCTGGTGTCATGTGCGCTATTGAGTGAGGGGGGGGGGAGGGTATCAGATATTATTATGAATATTTGAAATCAGCTCTTTCTAAACAATGTAAAACTTCTTTTGAAATTTCGAGATATCGTTTTCAAAGATCTTTTTTGGCCCTTAGGTGATATAAACGCGTTGGTGCGTTGGTTGCCGCACCGCCACAACTATCTTCAACTTGCATTTTCAGATCTGGTTTGCATGTTTGGCTTTGGCGTCAATTGAACCACTTGAAGGCGCTGAAAGCTTCGGAACCTTGCTTTCAAGCTTTTTTGGCCGCATGCCAGGGGCGATCAAAACGCAACGTCGCGCTGAATGTGCCGCATTACTATAATTTGGATCAAATACTTCGACTGAAATTCTACTTGAATATTTGAAATCAGGGTCCTTTTACAACTTGTGAGTTTGCTCAAACTTTCCATAATCTTTTGTCTTGGTACATTTTTTGTTATTGGGCGATATAGACGACGAAGTAAACGCCCGCGTCGGTCCCCGCTATCGAGGTGGAAACCTTAAAATACCACTAGACACTAGCCCGCAGTTACAGGGGGCCGAGCTAACACCTTGATTAATTGGAAGATCACGAGCTGATTGATTGATCCGGTGCAGAACCAGCAATTAAGGCCACATAGGTCTACAATGGGCAAGAGTAATTGATCACTAGAGTGAGCAATCGATTCATTCTTATCAATCCACGCATCCAGGCGCTTACGGAAGCGCTTGTATCGATTAATTTTCGATTTTCTCTTCGGTGTCGTGGTCCTTGCCGTGTATCGCGTTTCATCGCCGTATTGAAAGAAAATTTGTGGAAACAAAAGAAAATTGCTTTCAGATAAGAGTTTTCTTCACTGAAATGGAAGGAAAAGAAAACGAAAAAAGGAGAATGAGCCAGGTGAGAGAACTTGGAAATTTGGATTTGATAGAGCAGCTAGAGCTTATCAAAACGGAGGTGGAGCTGCTACCAGAAGTGGTTAGGCAGACATCTCAGCGAGAGTAGAGCAGGGGTCAGGTACAGAGGGCCGCTAGAAGAAGAGTTAATTAGTAAAGTAGCTAGCACTGAAGGGAAAGTAGATAACAACCTAGTAGTCCAGATAAAAATGAGTTCTGGAACTAGTAGAGTAGGGGGCTTCACGGAAAATGCAAAGGCAAGTATCAAAACAGATCAATTGCAAGGAAGCCTTCATAGCGAGCAACTACCGGAGAAACCGGTACAAGAAAGAGAAGAAGCCGAAGACGGCCAGATACAAGGTAAGAGCACTTCAACATTTGCCAGAAGGAACACAAACAATAAATTCGTTCGATGTCGATTTCGAGGATGCAGCCGAAAGGACCAAAGCGAGAGATTGGTCTGACGTACGCGCAAGGAGGCCATCGCTGGAAACGAGCATCAGCGGATGCCTGCCATATCAAGGTACGCAAGAATATTTGTTGAATTACTTCCAACGAG